GGCCCCTCCTCCTCCCTCTCCTCCTCCTCCTCCTCCTCCTCCTCCTCCTCCCTCCTCCTCTCCTCCTCCTCCTCCTCCTCCTCCTCCTCCTCCTCCTCCTCCTCCTCCCCCCCCTCCTCCTCCTCGCCCCCCCCCCCCCCTCCCACTCCGCCCCAAGATTGTGCCTCCTCATCCCTGTCCTCGTCCCCTCTCCCTCTGACCCCTCCCCGAGGAAGCCCGAAACGTCCCCAAGAGGCCTCCCGGAAAAAAAAAACCTCGCGGGGTGCGTTCAAAATCAGTTGGCGGGAACGCGCGAAGCACTTAGATAATCAAAGACTCGCCAGCAATGCAACAGTAGTATTCTAATCAAAACTCCCACCACGATTATCAAGAAGCCGGGCGAAACGAGACTTCCAAGCTGGTTGTTCGTGCAACATCTGACCGCGTAGCTGGCGTCGATGAACGCGGCGTGCACTATGCCCTCCCGCCTGAGCTGGTCGTGCCAAATCGACACAATGACGCTGGTCAGGATGCAGCAGCGTCAGGGACAGCGCAATGGTGAACGGCACCGAACTTGCCACAGGCGGCGGCGGTGCGAATCAAAAACTGCAATTCTTTCGCGCGCGCAATACAACGCTCGCATTCCAAGCAAGACTCCCACCACGACCATCAAGAAGCCGAGCGAAATGCAACTCGTAGGAGCACGACGCATCACATGAGGGTGGGAAGCCGTTCTGTCCCAACCACGCGCCACCGTGTCTCTTCAACACACGAGACTTCCAAGCTGGTTGTTCGTGCAACATCTGACCGCGTAGAGGGCGTCGATGAGAGCGACGTGCACTATGCCCTCCCGCCTGAGCTGGTCGTGCCAAATCGCCAAGATGACGTTGGTGAGGACGCAGCAGCGCCAGGGGAAGTGCAATGGTGAGCGGCACCGAGCCTGCGGCGGCGGTAGCAGCGCCCCTGCCTTTCAGTGCTGGTGGGGAGCTCCGCTAGACGAGCTACGACAATGAAACTCGTAGCGGTGGGGCGACGAGGAGGCGCGTCAACAGAGTGGAGAAAACTGCTGCCGTAGGGAACCAAGCTTCGTCAGGAAAATGAGCCACCTCACCTCGTAGCTCGTCGCGCGCTTCCCCCACTCGGCGCCGATCGCGGCGAGGATGGCAACATGAGGGCCGCATGGAGGCCCTGGAGGGCACCCAGAAGGCCCGGGGGAGGCCGCAGACTCCTGGGAGCCATGGACTCAGCGCCCATCGCGGCGAGGCGCCGCGGCCGTGGCCCGCCGCGCGCGCCCGCTCCGAAGAGTTCCCGAGCCACCAGCCAAGGTCGGCTCGGAGGTTACAGGCTTGAGCCAAAACGATCACGGAGGAGGAGGAAAACCGTCAGATCTGGGCGCCGCAAAGAACCCACGACGGCCGGTCTTCGTCCGTTTCGGATCCCACAAGGATCGATCTGGCTCGAGAAATGTGAGAAAAAATGAATCGAGGGAGGTCGAAGCTGAAGGATTGAGGAGCGTAAAGGAGGGGGAAAAGGAGGAGGAGGAGGAGGACGACGAGGAGGAGGAGGAGGAAGGGAGCAGCATAATGTAAAAAAATGATTGGAGAGGAACTCCCACTTCCGACGTGACAGGATGGTCCGTGCGCCCAGGCGCGAATGACCAGGCCGCGAACTCCAACCGCGACGCCTGCCTAAGACTCGAGCGAGAGAAAACTGACAGAATATTGACCAGTCCCAAAATGCCGTTGGTCGGTATGTTCGTGTGTTTGTCCATTCAGGATGCGCGGGCCCCCCTGCTGGCGGGCGCGAACCAGCGGAGTGGTCCGGCGATGCCTTCCCTTGGGGGCTTCTCGGCGCGCTAGATTATTGCCCCCCCCCCAAACCTCTCCCTCGAGAGCCCGGTCTTGCCGATGTGCATGCGGAGGGGGGGGGGGGGGCCCGTCCAGTCCACTTGGCGGACTCGTCTGCACCGGCAATGCCCCCAGGCGCGTTCAAATTCCTCCAATGAAATGGATGCAACGCGGCGCAAGAGGGGCCCACTACGGTTCCAGCTGGCATCAAGACTGCCGCAGAGGCATCCAACACACCCCAGACCTACTTCTCCCGAGACCCCTGAGATGGCGCATGCGCGGCGATAGAAGAATAGTAGACACGGGCTACGCAGGAAGCAGGGCGGGGAAGCGAGGGCAACGTAGGGGGAGGGCGGGGAATTAAGAACATATGAAACAAACACTTCCTCGAGTTGCGGGCTTGTGTTCGGGCCATCCCTCTGCGGAAGCAGAGAGATGGATAAAGCGGCGGAGTGAAAGCCGTGAAGCATCAAAGTACATGAAGGGAATTGTAAGACGTTGAGGAAACGGGCGTTTTACTCGCCCTGCAAGCTGATCCCTGGGGCCGCCAGACTGTCTGCCGTCTGCGGTCGGAAGTTGGCGCAACGACGCTGGAAGATGAAGGCGGGCCTGGCGCATTCCGAAATGACCTACATCGGACCTGCAGGGTGGAGAAGGAGGAGATGGAGGAGGAATTCCAGGGGGATGGGAGGAATCTGAGAGAAAAGGGTGGATCAGGAGAGGAGCTTGGGAAGGGGAGGGCTGCGCGCAGTGCAACTCAGCAGACTCCCACACATCAATTTCAATACTCATGTACTGGTTCCGAATAACGCCCCGCTGATAAGTGGCCAGCATGTCGCCCGTCTCCGTAGCCGTTTTGCAGGTGCCCTCGACGCGGGCAATCTTGCCACGAAGGTGCAGCACCCGGGCCCTCAAGAACTTGTAGCGAAACTTCCAAATGAGGACCTCCTTGTACAGCTTTTTGAAACGTTTTCTCGTCACGGGCCGTTCTGTCGGCAGGTGCCTCGGATTGGGAAGTGATGGTTCGGCGGGCGGCATTTCCGATATTGGAAAGAATGTCCGTGGTTTCGCCAGACAGTATGAACCTCGAAGCAAATATGGCCACTGGTGGAATCGATGAGAAGCAGCATTTTGTGATTATGGTGTTCACGCCATGACACTCATAGTGATTGTGATATCGACGGAGGCGATCCTAGTCATCAGCATGACGGTGACAATGGTTTTGACGCATATGATGATGACCATGGTGTGTATTGTCATTGTATAGTGGCGGCTGCTCTGTCGTTGGAATCATGCAACTCTGCTCCGATAGGGGGCCGTGCCTGCGCCGTCGTCGGCAGCTGGCCATCGGGGCCGCTGGGCCCTACAAGCTGTCTCGAAGTTGACGCGCCGAAAGCGCCAAAACATAAACGTAAGTTGGAATCCCCAAGTGCAAGCATTGTGTTTTGGGACAGGCGTGGACCCCTCTTGTGCAATATTTCAAACAGCGCGAACAGGGCAGCGATGCAGGGCCCAGAAGAACAGCACCAGGACCATCACCAGCAGCAGCACTGACACCATCACTAGCAGCACCAGCACTTGCAGCACCATCGCCACCATCAGCACCGCCACCACCGGCAGCAGCACCAGCAGCACCGCAAGGAGCACGATCAGCAGCAGCTGCAGAAGCACCAGGACCAGCAGCGCCAGGAGCATCACCAACAGTACCAGGATCAACGCGAGCACCACGAGCATCAACAGCAGCACCAGCACCAGCACCAGCAACAGCAGCACCAGCGACAGCATCACCAACACCAGCAGCAACAGCATCAGCAGCACCATCACCACTATCACAAGCCTCGTTGTTCTCTTCCTCGAATATTCCTCCTCGAATCTTCTCGATGGGGGAGAGGGGACAGGGGAAAGAGGAGAGAGGAGGAGGAAGAGGAGGAGCAGGAGGAGGAGGAGGAGGAAAGGGAGGAGGAGGAAAGGGAGGATGAGGAGGAGGACGAGGAGGACGAGGAGGAGCAGGAGGAGGAGGAGGGAGGGTGGAGAGAGGAGAGGGAGGAGGAGGAGGACGAGGACAAGGAGGAGGGGGGGGGAGGAGGAGCAGGAGGAGGAGGAGGAGGAGGAGGAGGAGGACGAGGAGGAGGAGGAGCAGCAGCAGCAGCAGCAGGAAGAGGATGACGAGGGGGAAGGGAGGAGGGAGAGAGGAGAGGGGAGGAGGAGAAGGACGAGGAGGAGAGGGAGGAGGAGGAATGAGGACGACGACGCGGAGGATGACGAGGAATGGGGCAGAAGGAGGAGGGGGAGGAGCGGGAGGAACAAAAGAAGGGGAGGGGCGGGGGCGATGGGGAATATGAATTAGGCGCGAAGGGGACGAAGGGGGCAAAGGGAGCGGGGAGGAGGACGATGAAGAGGGAGCAGGGCGACGACGTCACAAGGGAGGCGGGGGGCGAGCACGCCAACGCCGGCGAGCAGCCTTGCCCAAGGCCCCATAGACACCCAAAACGCCTAGATCGCCCAAAGTGCAAGACACCTTATGGCGGTGACGATCGGGCTGATGAAGGAGGGTCATGTTGTTGATGATGATGGTGTTGATGGTGGTGATGGTGATGGTGACGGTGGTGATGGTGATGGTGATGATGATGAGCTCCGTTGGTTTTCGCCCGGAATTCAACGGTCTTGGCGGAGGGGAAAAAGGTGGTTGGATGGTGATGACGCTGGTTATGTGGATGACGGTGGATTCCGCTGATTTTCGCCAGGGAAACAGTGGCCCTGGAGGGGGCCAACAGGACGACGGCGGCGGTGGCGAGGATGACGATGGGGCCGAGGGCACAGCTGACCCAGGGTGGGATGAGTTTGGCTGGACCGGCCAGGGGCAGCCAGGATAGGAACCTCGCCAATACCGGAATGGTTGCAATAAAATTCTCGGGGTTGCGGTTGGAGTTGGCATTGTCATATCAGCGATTGGCTTGCAAATCAACATCGCAGCGTGGATACTGCCAGAGAGCGATCAGATTTCTCAAAGTGTCAAAACGAATGCCTTGGAACTGGCGCATCGAGATCGGATTCGTCGGGCCGCTGTCCACTGCGCGCGGGCCGGCGGCTACGAGCTAAATGGGCGCCCAAGCCCCACGACTCTGCAGAGTCGCTGTTCTACCCCAGGGGCAGCGCGCACCCGGGAGCGCACGCTCAAGACGTTTTGGCGAGAGCTCCGAGCTTGGTCTTGAGGACCCCAGGGACGCTCGCGATTGCCTCCTTGTTGTCCAGGATGTCCTGCGCCATCTTCGGCCCGTCTGCGGACTTGGAGAAATGTTCGACCGTGTTCACGGCCGCGCATACGCACATGGCGGTCTTGGCGGCATCGACAACGCCGTCCACCTCGACCAGGACGGGGTGGTCATTCACACCCTCCTCCGTGATGCCGAACTGCTTGTTGATGTCGGAGCTGTACTCTTCCGCCATGTCGATCAGCGCCCCCACGCTTTGCAACGTGGTCTCGTTGGTCAGCTGTTTTTTGGCCGGGCTCGCGTTGTAGCGCGTCCCGGTTAGGATGTGGCTGTACTGCGGCGTCTTCCCCTTCAGCTCCTCGCCGATACCTTTCAGCTTCGCGAGGCACGCGTCGAGGGCCCTCTCCCTCGCGAGCGGTGCGACGACGGTGGCCGCGAACATGACGATCGACTCCAGCTCACTGACGGAATATTTCATATTGACGTCCGCGGCCATCTGGCTGACCCTGTTCTTGACTTGGGCCCAATTCACGCCGCCTCCGTCAAACAACCACTGCGCGCACTCGTTAACCCATGGCGAGACGACAAACTTGTCGCCCCCCGTGTCCTGGCAGGCGCTGACTTTGACGACGACGGAGCCGGGCGTCTGGAGTTTGTGCGCGAGAACGCTGGCGACCTGAACCGTGCAACCGACGTGGTCCAACATCTCCAAGGTGACCATCAGGGCCATAGGCTTCAAGGGCTTGCCGCTCAAATCGATCGACGAGGAAAGACGCCGCTCCTGTGGGCAAGGGGAAATCACTTCTGTCATGCTGTTCAAAGCCACGCGGTTGGCGAACTTGAAAGTCAACGGCAAGTCGGCCACGGGCGTCTCCGAGGCGAGTTCCAGCAAGTCAACGGACTCAGCTGTGCTCTGGATAACAGCTTTCCCGACAAGTGAACCCATCATGTCCAGAGCGCCCTCGCCCTTTCTGTAAATGGCATGGGTCCAGCCTGTGGTAGTGCGAGCCTTCTTGAAAAGAGAATCGTACTGGTGCATTGTCGAACTGACCATTTTCTCTACGTTGCTGAACAAGTACTTTTCCAAAAGAAGGTTCGTGGACTCGCCCTTGAGCCACTGCTTGGAAAATGCACCTGTCGACTGCTTGCAGCTGAACGGCAGCGAGCTCTCCAGGCCAGGCACCTAGGGGAACCCAGGGGCTGCCTGTATTCCTAGCGGCATTGGAACTTCAATACTAGGGGCACCCCCTGCAGTCCAAGTCACCGGAAGCCTTGCGTTTGTTTTAGGAGGGCATTACTACACCGAGGGGGGGGGAGAAGCGAAATGCACATCTCATGATTCTATGGGGCATGGGAGGGGGGAACGAGAACGTGGAGACGGGGGGGGCGAGGGGGAGGGGGGGGAGGAGGAGGAGGAGGAAGAGGAGGAGGGAGGAGAGAGAAGGGAGGAGGGAGGGGGAGAAGGGAGAGGGGAGAGGAGGAGGAAGAGGAGGAGAAGGAGGAAGAGGAGTTGAGGAGGAGGAGGAGGAGGAGGAGGAGGAGGGGGAGGAGGAGGAAGGACGAGGAGGAGGAGCAATGGGACGAGGAGGAGGCGCAGGAGAAGGAGGACGAGGAGGAGGAGAGGACGAGGAGGAGGAGAAGCAGGATGAGGAGGATGACGAGGAGGAGGAAGAGGAGGAGGAGGAAGAAGGAGGAGGAGGAGGAAAATGAGGAGGAAGAGGAGGAGGATGGGGGGGGGAGGGGGGGGGCGAAAGGGAGGTGGGAGGGGACGAGGGCGATGAATAAAACGTGAGCGGGGCGAAGGGGCAAAGGGGGCGGGGAGGAGGGCGACGAGGATGGAGGCGCGCGGCGAGGACGTCAACGCCGGCGAGCACCGCGCGGCCTATGATCACCACAGCGCACATGCCTGCCGCGGCATTGCCCAAACACCCTAGACGCCCAAAGCGCCTAAGGCTCCCAAGTTGCAGGACACATCATGGCGGTGACGATCGGGTTGATGATGATGGTCATAACGATAATGATGATGATGGTGATGATGATGGTGACGATGATGAGTTCCGTTGATTCCCGTCCGGAATTCAACGGACTTGGCGGGGGACAACAACAAAAGGCCAGTAACAATGCAATACGTGCCGATGTGTGATAATGCTGGTGACGATGGTGATGATGCTGATTATGTGGATGTCGGTGGGCTGCGTTGATTTTCGCCCAGAAACCAATGGCCCTGGGGGGGGGGGGGGAGAAGGGCCGAACGAGTGAAACACATAAAAGAGATGGTCAACGCTATCCAAGGCCAGTCTAATTGTAGTCGGGAAACGCATGAAGCACAATTATCTGGGTGCGACGCGCATGAAGTGGACATGTCTAGGCACGAACGGGGCGCGCTTACTCTGAGCAAATCCCCTCGTCACCGCGGCAAGTACTCATTACTCTAGGGGCATGGAGGGGGATCGAGAACATGGAGGCGGAGGGGGGGGAGGAGGGGGAGGAGGAGGAGGAGGAGGAGGAGGGGGGGGGGGGAGGAGGGAGGAGGGAGAGGGGAGAAGGGAGAGAGGAGAGAGGGGGAGGAGGAGCAGCAGCAGCAACAGCAGGAGGAGCAGGAGGAGCAATAGGACGAGAAGGAGCAGGATCAGGAGACGGAGGAGGATGAGGAGTGAGGGTGGAAAGAGGGGGACGAGGAGGAGGATGGCGAGGAGGAGAAGACGAATATGGGCGAGGAGGAGGAGGAGAAGGAAAACGAGGAGGGGGGGATGGGGGAGGAGGAGGAGGCAAAGGAGGGGGAGGAGGACGAGGAGGAGAAGGGGGAGGAGGCGGGGGGGGAGGAGGAGGAGGATGAGGGGGAGGACACGTGGATGTCTATGTTTCTGGATGGAGACACCTTGTCGATGACGACCTTCTCGATGACGTAGCCACTCTCTGTGCACTCCGCGATGTCATTCCTGACCTCCGCGATCTTGATGAGGGTGGCGAGGGTGCCCTCGCCGGAAGTCACCCCCATGTCCATAGCTGCGAAGTCTTGCCCGCCACGCCACGGCGCGTGCACGAGCGTCGAGAGCAAAGGGGACTCCTCCCACAACGCCCTGCGAACGTTGATGTTCGTCTCCACCCTCTGCGCCTCCTCGGCCAGCCGTTCCCGCGCCTCCCGTGACCCATCTGGAATCCACTTGATGATGTTCTTGAAGGCCACGTCGCAGAACTTCGCGATGCGAACGCACAACTTCGCCAGGGGGTTCTCTTTGAAGGACTGATCGGACAAGGCGCCCGCGGGTAAACCCGCAGGAGGCCACCTCTCCCCGTCCAGTTGCGCGAGCCCCTTTTCCCCCCATGCCTCGCGGGCGGCGCGGAGCTTCACCGCTGCGTGGTGCGAGCGGTAGCCGCCGCGAAGGGCGAGGGCCTCCCCCAGCCACGCGATGACGTTCACAACGACCTCCGCCTCGCATGTCAACTTGAAATGGGATATCTGCGACAAAGCACTGGAGGCTTGCCGCATGGTTTCATCCATGATCCTGATGAAGTCTTCGGGGCAATTGTCCAACAGAGCCCCCGTCCCGTCAACGACCAAAGACCCCTCGCCTATGTTCTCGTCGAAGCCCACCGCCAACGTGCTCTCCGCAGCGCTCATGAGATCATCGACGCACTGCTCGTCAAGCTCCCCCTCGACGAGGAGTTCCTTGGCGTCAGCCATAATGCCAGCCCCGACTCCATGCTTGAAGCCCTCGTGGAACCTCACGGCGATCACCTCTGAATCGACGATGCCGACCGCCCTGCTCAAGTCACCCGGTGAGACGCCCTCCAACTTCAGCGCCGCCTTGCAAATGCAACGGAGAGCATCGAACGCCCCCCTGGCGATGTCCAGACCACTGAAGGTGCCGGCGCTGTTGTTGATAAACTGAGCGTACGCAATGGCAACCTCGCACACATGACCTTTCGCCCTCGCCCAAGCCTCCGTGGACTCGGCCAAGCCCGCGTGGACACTCTCGGAGAGCATGCTGAAGATCTTGGTCGCGAGGCAATCGATGACCACCTGGGCTGGCGACAAGAAGTTGCACTTCGACGGGGCGGCGCAGGACAAATTCTGCACCGATAAACGCTCCGACGCCGTGATGGGATCGCCCTCTTTGGATGCGTTACGGAACGTGGCCCGCGCGAGGCAGCTACCGATCCATGGGCCCAGCTCGACGCCATCGTCCTGGAAATACTTCGCGACGACCTGCACGTGTTCCAACATGCTGTCGAGATGATGTCCCTTGTTGCTCTTCTTGCACTCCTTAAACGGTCGCATCAACTTCTTGCCATGCGAAACTGCTTCGATTAGACCTTCGGCCTTCTCGATCGACGATGGCCCTCGCTTCTCCGCGCCGCCCTTTGAGGCGGAAGCCGCTGCTGCGACGATGGCAGCGTTGCCCAAGAGGTCCTGTTTAAATTTCAACAGCTTGCCATAAATCGGAGTGAAATCCTTTTCCATCGCGCTGGACCCCTCCGCGTTGAGGCCCCCAATGATCGCCGCCGCCGTGTCCGAGTAGTTGCTGCGCTGCTGGCTCATGCGCGACCCCTCAGGCGGCGGCGCCCCTGACGCAGGGCCCACGCGCATGCCGACGCGGAGGGGGGGGGGGGGGGGGGGCGGCGATTGGTGAGAGGAGGAGAAGGCGGCCCTCCAGTGCCCCCTTCCGCCCCACTCCCCCTCCCCCCCTGCCCTCCCCTGGGCGCGCCGGTGTCGGCGTGCGTTCGGCCGCCGCGCCTAAAGACCCAATGCGGGCTGCGCCTGCGTCGGCGCCTCCAGCAGATGCAACAGCAACCTCAGGCGCTGATGACGAGCCCTGCGAGTTCCACCACTCGATGAACTCCGGCGGCGCGACCCAAGCAGGCACGAGCGGCCACGCCGCCCTCGCCTGCGCAGTGGTAACAAAGCGCGTCTGCAAGGATGGGCCCGGTCCTTCTGCTGGAAGAACCCGAGGTACGAGC